TCCATATTTCAGGAATATTCGTCAAAAACTTCCATGAAATAGTTTCGTCTATATTATCTAAGTTTACATGTATTACGTGTCATCTAAATTTTTTTTTTAAATCAATGCTAAACAAACATACTCGTTATTATTAAATAATGCGCCCTATATGAAAATAAGGGAGAAGAGACCGGTGTGTTTCTCGGACGAGATTAAATCCACGGATAACAATGCGTCTTTGCATTACTCGGATAAACTTATATCTCCGCACAAAGAACAAACTTCGACACGGATTAAGTTATTTCGACTCACTCAATTTTCTGAGGATTAACCGGAACCGTTATTCTCCCCTTTTATACGACCGCGAAACAATCTTTGTTAAACAAGATCAATGTTGAATTTTTAATTCTTTTTCTTCTCCTCCCTATCTCGCTTTAGAGATTAATAAAATAATCTTGCTTGGATAAAAGTGGTGCTATAAAATGGAGAATATCTATCTCCATCAAAACGACGCACCCTTCTTTAACGCGGATATAAGATTAAGGATAAAATAAAAATTCAAATTTTATTCGAATTAGACGAAATAATTTTTTTAAATAAAATTAAATCTTGGATTTTTACATATTAATTTATTATCACAGGACAGGAAGTCAAAATTTGTTTTTTTCTTTTCTAAATAATGGCATATCTTGTCTCTCAATTCTCTATATTGGATACGTAAAATTAACAGGTGTCAGTGTATAATTCAAGCACGTATTCAAATCTCTCTTTATAGAATTACGGCAAGTAGACAGAGTATGACTTGATATAGCGGGACCGTGAAAGTGTTAAATTGTACATGCTGTGGAAAACGTTCCCAGAATGCTAATGCGATGCCGCCTAATGCCGCCTAACCGTGTTGTAATTTGTCTTTCTTCCAAGATGTACCCGCGAAACTGATGTCTTTCATAACAAAGGATAACGTGAAACGTGCGAGAGATAATTGTTGAAATTCCGTTATAAACGTTCCTTAAAACGTAGTATCACGTGTAATAAAATAATTTTGGCATCTTCCCTCGGCAACAATTAATAACCGATAATTATCGAATCGTTTGAAAATTTGAAAAAGGTTGTGGAAAAATACTTCGTATATTTTCAAAAACCAATTTACAAATATAATCCTTCGAATTATTTCTGCAAATAATTTCGGGATATTAAAAGTCAGAAAAAAAAAAAAATAAACAAACATTTTCTCTTTTCCATCGAATACAATTTCAACGTCAATCGAAAATGATTGATTCTCTTATCTCTCCCCTTCTAAAAATTTATCGCCACAATTTTCTACGATTTCTTCGATTCGATTTACGTGGTCAAGTGTTTA